AAATAAAACCAAAACATGACAGAATTCCATGAAATCACTGACAAATGGATTGAGTCATGTTGGTAGAAGTAGGCTACCTGGTTGGGTTCCGCGAGACGAAAGTAACTGATGGTTAGAGACCTTGAATAACATGGCTCAACGTCGTTTGCAATGGCGCAGGTGCATCAACTCTTTGTGCTCTCTCAAATTCTTATCTTCTGGATTCGTCAACTCCTCTACTTTTGTCTTTGTAAATCTGTCTCACTGAATTATTCTTCTTCAAGAATATCTTGGGACTCTAATCTTCTCTATTACCAGTAGTAATTCTACTGGTAATTCGCATTGACGATTGCGTCTCTGTGCTAATGTGGTATGGCAACAATGCATCTGACTGACTGACTTTACATGACATGGCTCAAAATCGTTTGCGATGGTGCAGGTGCATCCACTGTTTGTGTTCTTTCGAATTCTAGTCTACTGAATTCCTGATCGCCCTCTATTTCTAAGTTACTTTCACTGCATCATACTTCTTGAATAATATGTTCTATCTGTAATGTTCCCCATTAACGTTAATTTTCTACTACGTCTACTACTATGGGATTTGAACTGACACTTCCATCTGTTTTTGCTAATATGTGGTATGGCAACTTGAACTAATATGCGTATGTAAGTATGAAGTTCTACGTTGTAGCTGACTGACGCTCTCCAACTGAAGATGCAACCCGAATCTATTACGTAACAAAAAAATCAAATCACCTACTAACTGAAGTGAATCTTATTACAGGAATATAATTTTGTTGTTTTCAATTAAGTTTTTGTGTGTTTTTAGTTTAAAAGCTGAAAAACAACTTTTAAATGTAGTCATTATATGACTTGTCATCTGCACATCTTCAACTGTAACAACACACTCCCAAAATATATTGTCCTGATAAGGATATGCTTATTGTCTTATTCAGCATATCAGTTGATAAATATTTATCCTAAAATGTACTCACTTGTAACTAGCTTTATGAGGAAATTCTCAGAGTTCTAGTGAGTAGTCGTGACTAGTAGAGTTCAACTCTGTCGAATGTAGTAAAGCTAACTAGCAAAGACAATCATTGACTTTGCGCAAAATTCTTTAATTAGTTTGGATTCAACAACACCGTTACACATCGGCTCATTGGTTTACAGGTTAAGCGTTTGTCGGCGAAACTGAACGTTCTGGGTTCGACCTTCGTTCACGGGGTTATGAATCTGCATTATTGATAAGTCCGGAACCCGAGAAAACAGCCGTCTAGTGCTCCTAGGTCTCTCAAAGTAGTCTAACGGTGATTAAATCACAATATCAATGTAGATTGTGATCATTCAGTTGCAACGCAGAACTTCGTACGTATGCACATAACTTCATGTTGCCATACCACGTTAGCACAGAGACGCAAACGTCAAATCAAATCCCATAGTGATAAAGATAGTAAAGGTATTAATGGTAATGAAGAAGACTAGGTTTCGAAGATATCATTCAAGAAGTATAATTCAGTGAGATAAGGTTAGAAAGACAAAGGTAGAGGTGCTGACGATTCCAGAAGATTAGGATTTGAGAGAGCACAACGAATGGATGCACTTGCGTCATTGCAAACGACTTTGAGCCATGTCATTCAAGGTCTCTAACCATTGGTGACTATCGTCTCTCGGACCCCAACCACGTAGTCTACATCTACCAACATGACTCAGTCCACTTGTCAATGAATTCATAGATTCAGTCCATGTTTGTGTCTGGCCGCCCCTAAATTTAGATTATGAAAAGTAGTTTGTCTCTTGTCTTATCTAACTAAAAGTAAAACGAGTATTCAAAAGATTTAAATCATTTGAGTGATTTTCATCCTGTCTATTAACATGTGTGTATTATTTTATTCTTAAAAAAAGACATAACTTTTACTGTTTCATCTTTATATCTGGAAATATATCTCTCAATGATTTACCCTTTTGTAATTAACATAACTATCATGCCTGACTACTTTATGCCCATTCAGACAATCGATCTTAATACACAACACATGCTGTTTAAGTATGCTTCAATGTTTGATTATATTTTAACACAAACATCTACCTCATATTTTCTAACTGTTTTCTTCTTAAAACTTATTCTAGTATATACCAAACAGAATTAACACCATTGAACCGGGTCGTAAATATTTCTGGTGTTCATGTGGTCTCAGTTTAAAACAACCATGGTGTGATGGTAAGACTCAGGGCACAGTTTGACCATTTGATATTGTTTTCATGTTCTATTCAACAATTCAACACTATTTTTAGTAAAACAATCAATTTCAGAAGTTGCGCCAGTGTATTGAACCGTTTACTTTTTATTAGTTTTCCTATAGTATTTCTAAAATTCACTATCCTTTTTGAGATTAATTAGTCTATTGATATCATGATCCTAAACTTTTTAATCAAACAACATTATAGTTAGAACTATGATTTTCCCCCTTGACTTCAGTATGAGAATGTATCGACTATTGTTAGGCCACTATTAGAAACCTGGAAGCCTTGCACGGCCTTTTCGTTGTAGTATGGAACTCATTAGCAGTGCACATCCACACGAGGGACTCAAACTCAGGACCTTCGATCTCGCGCACGAACACCAAACCTCCAGATCATTGAGCTATTAAGCAACGGTGCTGATGTCTAACTTTGATCAGTCTAAGGTTCGCTTTGCGCGCACTCTCAACCATATCCTTTGGTAGGTGACTGCCTACATCCGACAGGACAGAACTGCACTAGTCACGACTTCTCATTAAGACTCCGGGAATTACCGTACGAATGTGATCATCCGTAAGCATATTTTTATGAAACTGAACAATCATAACAACTTTATGATAAACATCATACTAGAGAATTCCCAATTACCTGTGCTAATATAATATCCTTAATTTTCTTTAGAAAAAACATTTCGCACTTTATAATTTCCAATAGCTATTTTGTTAAACTACACTGTTTATAGTTTCGAACTAAGATTAGGTTTTAACAACTTGCGTCACTTATGGGATAGGCAAGATATCCGTCTACTAACCAAAGGATGAGTCTACTGCTCAGTAGTTCTCTCGGTCCTACTCTATAGATGTAAGACTTGGCCATTGAGCGTAGAGGATCTTCGTAGGTTATCAGTATTCGATCATAGGTGTGTTCGACACATTGCTCGTGTATCCTCAGACATTCGAATAAGCAATACTGTTGTTAGGAATCAGGTACTAGGTAAGGATGGCAGAACAATAGATGAAGTAGTGAAACTTCATCATCTGAGGTGTTTGGGACATGTGTTACATATGCTCAACCATCGACTGCCTCGACGAGCTATGTTTTGTGATGTAGGACTAGGTTGGAAGAAAGCTTGAGGTGGTCCATTGAAACCATGGCACAAATCCCTAAAGTCACTAACAACTGAACTGAGTCATGTTGGTAGATGTAGACTACCTGGTAATGGACCTTGAATGATTTGTCTCAGAGTCGTTTGTGATTGTATAGGTACATCTAACCTTTGTCTTCACTCACGAACTTTGGATCTTTTCTTATCTATTTGTAAATTTATTTCTTGAATCATATCTTTGAACTCTAATCTTTTCCATTACTGCTAATACTTCTACTACTTCTGTTATTATAGGATTTGAATTGCATCTCTCTCTCTGTGCTAATGTGTGTGGTATAACAAATTGAACTGATGTACGTAGGTACATACGAAGTTCTACGCTGTAGCTGACTGACTGACATTTCAGTGACTGAATGCGTTAGTCGGTCAGTCAGTCAGTGAGTTGCAACGTAGAACTTCGTTCTTATATACATAAGTTCATGTCGCCATACCACATCAGAACAGAGACGCAAATGTCAAATCGAATTCCATAGTGATAAAGATAGTAGGGGTATAAATGGTAATGAAGAAGACTAGGTTTCGAAGATATCATTCAAGAAGTATAATTCAGTGAGATAAGGTTAGAAAGACAAAGACAGAGAAAGTGCTGACGAATCCATAAGATTAGGATTTGAGAGAGCTCAAAGAATGGATGCACCTGCGCCATTGCAATTGATTTTGAACCATGTCGTTCAAGGTCTCTAACCATTGGTGACTTTCGTCTCGCGGACCCCAACCAGGTGGTAGCCTGCATCTACCAACATGACTCAGTCCACTAGTCAGTGACTTCATGGCCGCCCATAGATTTCTTCCAATCTACTCCTACACCACAAAACATAGCTCGTCGCGGCAGTCAGTGTTTGGGCATACGTAACACATGTCCCAACCACCTCAACTGATGAAGTTTCACTACTTACCTAGTACTCGTTTCCTAACGACAGAATGTGTTAGTCAATTCTTCCATAAAATAAATTGACCGGTTGAATTTGTTCAAACGACTGTTGTTTTTTTATATTCAATTCTCTTCATCATCATCATCATCATTATTTTAGCAATCAAAAAATTCCAGTTTTTAATTTTGTTAGCATTTAATATCATTTCCGGTGAAAACTTCTCCTTCTCCTCCTCCTGGCCACAGGCAATTTTTAATTGAATTGTTATTATTTTCTGTGTATGTATGATGCGTATTTAATTAAATTAACTAATTTGTAAGGAATGTTTTTTTCTTTTTTCGTATAAAATATTTTTACAAATAGACGATTCTGTTTGTAATAGTTGCATGTTATAAATTGTGATATATACATTTATATAGTCATACAATTTAGGCGATGACAATGACAATGTGTATCATGAAATAAAAAATACTATTCAATGTTCATTAGTTTGTTAAAAGTTCTTGTTTTTATTTTTTTTTCAATTCACAATGGAAGCCATATTGAAAATACAATGGACTTCCTTTTTTTTCATTTTTTCTAATCAAATGAAATTTTCACCTTGAATTTCGCTTCTTTTTTTATCATGAATTCAAACCTTCAGGCGCTAAAAATATTCACTTCTGTTCGCTTATCGGTTCCATAATGTTACGCATGCATGTAAACATGTCATTTGAGATGGTTTTGAACTATTACAAGTTTATCTTAATCGGGAAATGAGAGAGAGGATCAAGGATCCGGTGACACGACAGGCTACTCAAATCCGATTATCCCAACCCCCATGTTGAGTAAAAATAAGAAGATTTGCTATGAAGTAGAACTTGTATTCTACAAGCATCCAGAAAGTACGAGTTCCGTGTCCGAAATCAGGACCCCGTACTGGGATCCGGGTCCGGGTCGTAAAACGTTACAGATAATGCGTATCTATACATTTAGGTCGAATAGGAAAACAGCATCGAATTCTGTGACATTGACAGTTAAAACGACCAATAGGAAACAACATTCGACGTGACACTGATAATCAGGACGATAAATAAGAAAAAACACTGGAGTACCTGACATTAATATCTAGGACGACCATAAAATTGACCAGTATGAATTAACCAATTGGAATTGACCAATAATTCTCTTATGATATTGGATGAATATCCTAACAGATATCAAGGGTACCCTGACCAAGAGAAATCGACCAGTAGGAATTGACCAATCATTCTCTTAGGATATTAGATGAATATCCTAACAATAACATGATTGAATTTTTCTACAATTTGACTGATTTGTGCAAAATTTATCAAAACTAAAAAAGAAACAGTTGCTTCTTTCATCACGAACTAATGAAACTGAAAAGCATCAGATCGCTGTTTACTTACTTTTATTGTTTAAAACTATTTTTTTTGGTAAATCAAATTCATCAATCCACCAGAACTCGAACCTAAGACCTTGAGGTTCTGTCAACGAGCAAGTAATCTTTAGACTACTTTGGTCAGTTTTTCGAAACAACAGTTAGTTTATTTCAGATGACAGTGCTGTAAATGTTAAATGTTCTTCAAAAGATGTAACAAGTTGATCACTTACACATAGTTTTTACAATACCTTTATTTGTTATGCCCAAAATCATAGTTTTTCTACATTCTCTAAGCTCGATGAATAATTTTATTCTTGTCAAGCCTAGACAATTGTTAGTTTTTACTTTTCCTTTATTTCCAAGAAAGTTATTATTCATGGTATAAAGTGAGTAATACTAATAATGAAAGGATTTTGAACATAATTTTTCAATGAATGCCTAATGATCCTGGACTATATAAACTTCGCAAGTGATCTTGCTCTTCTGGAGCACACACAACAACAAATGCAAAAGAAGGCGACCAGTGTAGCTCCAATCTCACCAGCTGTATGTCTCAATATACACGAATGATAAAGCAAGATTCTGCGAAACAACACACATACATCACTCGTATCACAGTTGACAGAGAAACGTTCGAATGACGATTTAACAGATCTTCACATATCTGGACAGCATCATAGATGAGCAAGATGGGTCTGACACAAATGTAAAGACGTTGACCACCGATGTAGGGTAGCATTTCTACAATTAAAGAAAATCTGGGACACAAAATAACAATCAACTAACACCAGAGACAGAATTTTCAATGCAAATGTCAAGACGTTGCAACTGTATTGGGCGGAAACTTGGAGAACTACCAAAGCCATCATCCAGAAGATAGAAGCATTTATCAACAGTTGTCTAAGCAAAATACTTCGGATCCGCTAGCCAGACATTTTCAGCCTCAGCTTACTGTGGGAGAGAATGAGGTAGATTCTGGCAGAGGAAGAAATTATTAAGAATTGCTGCAAGTGGATAGGACACATATTACGGAAATCACTCAGCTGTGTCACAAAACAAACCGTCACCAGTAATCCTCAAGGTCAACCGAAACGAGGAAGGCGAATGAATGCATTGCGCTGAGAAACGGAAACAGACATGAGAAGAAGGAACAAAAATTGGATGGAACTAGAAAGGTAGATGGGGACAATGTTGGTTGGAGAACGCTGGTCGGTGGCCTATGCCGAACTACCGGTAACATGCGTAAATAAGTAATGGCTATAAATTTAACTTGAATAATAGGTCAATGGCATCTCCCTCAGTGCTAATGTGTGGTATGACAACTTGAACTGATGTATGTACGTACGGAGTTCCACGTTGTAGCTGAATGACTGATCAAACTTCGAACATAGGCCGTCGCCAGCATTCTCCAGACTACTCTTTCCTCCGTCTTTCTTTCTACTTATGTCCAATTTTCGTTCATTCTTCTTATGTCTGTCAAGTTTTTTTCGGCTTAATCTGTTCTTTGGTGTACCTCTTTCCATTTAGCTTTGAGGATTCTAAGTGAGGAGTTGCATTGTGCCGCATTTGGGTGGTTTCCTCAGCGTATGTCCTATCCACCTCTAGAGCTTCTTCTTGATTTCTTTCTCAGCTGGAATCTGGTCTGTTCTCATTCACTCTAGGTAGTTGATGATAGTGTCTGGCCGACTGATCCGAAGTATTTTCCATAGACAACTGTTAATAAGTACTTGTATCTTTTGGATGATGTTAAGTGTCACAAACGTAGCATATTATCATTAGTTAAGTTCTCATTTCAAAAGTTAAGTGACAGGAAATTACCTAGTTAACTAATTAAAATTAATTAACACGTCAATTTGATATGCTTGAACTATTACGAGTTTACCTTAGTCCGAAAATGAGGGTGAAGATCGATGATCCGGCGACACGACATGCTAATCTAATCTGGTTTTCCCAACCCCCATTGAATAAAAGAAGAAGACTTGATATGAAGTAGAACATGTATTCTACAAGCATCCAGGAAGTACGACGTTCAAATCCTGAAGAGAATCAAGATCCTGGACTAAGGATCCGGATCAGGGTTATAAAACGTTACAGATAATGCGTTTTTATACAGTTAGGTCGAATACGAAACAACATTTGAAGTGACATTGATAGTTCGGACAACCTATGGAAAACAACATTGGAGTACGTGACATGGATATCAAGGACGACCATAAAATTGACCCGTAGGGATTGACCAAAAGAAATCGACCAGTTAAATAACACTTACAAGTAATTTTCTTAGGGTATAGGATAAATATCCTAACAATATTTAAACCCGCTTCTTCCTCATTGTTTTTAAATCTTAAAAATATTTTCAAAACTACTTTTTTTATCTTTTTTGTTTAGGATCACACAAACCAACTCAATTTAAACCTATTCAATGGATTGCTCCATCGAATGTCAATACCGGCGGCAGTGTTTACGCATTCTGTCAGTGTAAACAAACAAAAACTGCCCCATTATGCGATGGAACACACAAATCGATCAGGCCAATCATTGAACAAAGACAAACTAATTGTCCTTCATGTCATGATTCAAAATTCAATGCAGAACAATGTACAAAAAAAATCAGTCTACCAGATGGAAAACGATTATTTTGTCAACAGTGTGGTTCAGTTGTAGACAGTAGTTAGTTGGACAAACTTGTCTACTACATGCCTCTAACATCATCATGGAGCATGTTTAAGCAAAGGGATGAAAAGACTTTTATAAAAGCTTCAAAATTTATTGCACAATTCACCCGAATAGATAAATTTTCAAAGCAATCCCTTCTCATTTCAGAAAGTTTCGACCTATAAAATAAACTGTATGTTAATTTTATTTAACGATCTACATAATTGAGTCTGTAATTTGTTCTGTTTGTAGTGTACGTTGACTTTTGTAATAATAATAATAATAGTAATAATAATAATTTATTCTCAAATCACAACCATGTTATAAGAAGCATGCCAATATACTCGCAAAATCTAAGTGTTAAGATTGGCAACAAATTTTTTTGTAAAACGTTGTTCGATAGCTGAAATATATCACAAGATACATTGGCTTCATATAGATAGATGGCTAAATTTTTTCACATAAAATTAGAGATAATTTTCCAGACTTTGCAATGTACAATGCGAATAATTGGTGCGATTTACGACGGTTGCATTACGACGAACTGCTAATGGCTGTGAAACAATGCAAGGTAGAGCCAGGTAGTGAGTGCATATAACAAGAATTGATGAGGTAAATGTGCTAAGATCTGGTTGATATTCTTCATATCACAAATTTACTGGCTCCTGGGTAAAGTAACCAAGTCTTCGGCAAATATCCGGATTAATATTTAGGGATTGGAATAAGGTGTTGAAAAAGAGCAATAAAGAGAATAGGGTGAGTAGCAGAGAGATACAAGGCAGAACTTCGTACATAAGTACATTAGTTCATGTTGCCATGCCCCATCAGCACATAGAAGCAACTGTCAGTTAAAATCCGAGAGTGATAGTGATAGTAGAAGTATTAGCAGTAATGGAGAAGATTAGGGAGCGAAAATATGATTCGAGAAGTATGATTCAGTAAGATAAATTTAGGAGAAAAGTAGAGATTATGAGGAATTCAGAAGCTGAGAATTAAAAAGAACACAAAGAGTGGATGCACCTGCGCCATTGCAATTGATTCTGAGCCATGTCATTCAAGGTCTCTAACCATCGGTGACATTTATCTTGCGGACTCCAACCATGTAGCCTACATCTACCAACATGACTGAGTCCACTTGTCAGTGACTTCATGGATTTGTGCCGCCTCTAGCTTTCTTCAAACCTACTCCTACACTACAAAACATAGCTTGTCGCTGCAGTCGGCGGTTAGGGATACGTACCAATATTTTCTGTGAGGAGCAGAACAGAAAATATTCTCGTTTAAAGTAGAACACTGATTCAGCAGATATTTTTTTGGATAAAACAAAGGTATGTTTACGCAGACCTTTTTATGTTAGAACACTTACTGTACACTTGCACTTTTGTAGGTTAATGAAGACAATTCAGTCGTGGTGAATTAAAAAGATCCAGCGGTAAAAGTGTTTATCTGACGACCGTGACAGTGAACTAGTCAGAGTTATGATAATACATTGTATATTCTGCACGAAATTCGAAATACAGTGATAGATACCTTGTATACTACTGATAACAAAGTGGAAATTAGTAATAAATGATGCTTGAGATTAATTTTAAATTCATGTTATGAAACCGAAAAGTGACAAAAAACCAAAACTATAATTTCTGTCAATGAAAATTACAAATTAAAGTATTTATTATAATTCAGTGCATTGTCAAGACTGTTTATCAGAAACCAGATCATATCTTCTTCTCTTTCTAACTACTATTCTAAGTCTCAACTATGAGTCTTTAATGTTAGTAAATAATAGAATGACATAATATTTCATCATATCTGATATTGATCTGTGATTGAAACCATAAAATAAGCTTAGAACTTCAGTTCAACTTTTAACAGCTAATCCTCAATATTTCAGCATCGTTTCTGGTCTCAGTTGATGACAAAAACTCTGTGATGTGATAACTGTAGCCCAACTTTTAATAGGTTAACTTGCCCCTTTCCGTACACTACAAGGAATTATTTAACATAAGGATTGATTAACCGAATCATTCATTCTAGTGATATTTTATGGCTTTTAACTGTTGACTGCTTAATAACTAGCCGGGATTGCCTGATTTTCTGTCAGGCCGTCCAAGGTCGCCAGTATGTGATGAAACGCTAAGACACCATTTATTAACGAATAAGTATACCTTATTTTTAAACATCCATTTGCCAAACCAACGGTCTGTCTCATGTTTTCTGGTCTTCAAAACACTATTGCAGCAGTAATTTCAAGTGTTATACTCCAGTGCATAGTACTTATTAGCCACATTGTGAGTAGTATACACCACCAGTAGTAAATGAAGATGGAAGCTGAGAAGGTATTGTAGTGAGCTCACACCACAGTATAAGCGATTGAAGGAAGACACAATCTACTCATCAAAAATTTTACACTTTAAAACCAAACATCCATATATATGTTCTACTCTTCAAAACATTCTGAAACAACACTCTTCGCTTTGTCAGTAATCTCAAGGTGACACTCTGCTACACATGCACTGCATACTACTTATAAGTCACGTTATAACTAGCACAATGCCATTTTGAAGATCTAAGCTCTCAACATTCAGTTCTGTGATCAATAAGATATAACCTAATGAATTTCCACCGTAACAAAAATGAATATGAGCTACACTAAACTATTTGATGTTTAAGTAACCTTTCCCAATATCCAATTTCTTTTTACTGAGAGCTACAGTAAACCGATTGATTTTCTACCCATTTTTTTTTTATTATGAAGATTTCAAGTTATCATAGCCGGTTTCGACTTATTTCACAATGAAAGTGGTTTTACTGTTATTAGGCATTCAGTAGCCAAACAAAACGTCAAAGTATAAACATTTTATGATCTATGAAATCGAATAAGTGTTACACTCACCTTAAACGTACTCGAAAGAATTCGACTGGTACTACAGTATGGATAACTGTGTTATTGGTCAGTGCGTAGAGCTCAATCAATGCAAATACCTTAGTGTTGCCGGATATCAGTCTCAACCTAATGATTTTAATGGTAACTCCCCATTCTACGGAGTTCGAAGACGCAGGTTCAAATCACACAAGAAACTACAGTCTCTTCACGGTCGTCGTTGCAAGTTCTAAATAACATTAAATCTACTTTGAGAGTTGTTTCCTGCGTGTTACTTTCAAGCAATTCTCTTTGTTATTAATGTAGAAGATTAAAGGAGATAATATTATGTTTTGTAGTTGAAATCACAAACCGATCCTGACTAGATTACCATTGTAAACCTAAAGACACTGGATGGCTTTGTTTTCTTATGATGGGACTCATCAGCAGTGCGAATCCATCATTGCATGCCCAGTCAATGGTATCACTATTATCATGGATGTCCAAAATTCAACAACCCTTTTACGCGGAACACCTTTCAAATCGGGGATATCCAAGTCAAACCGGAAGCCAGGGATGTGGAGGATCGTAGGTATATTTGAATGATAGTTAGGATGTCGATAAGTTAATAAACCAAGCTAGCTGAATAATGTGGGGAGATACCTAATGGCATATCCAAAAGTGCTTTGATGTAGATGCATGAATGAGTTTCTGCAGCTACAGTCTGTGAATTAAAACTAGTGGCATCAGCATCATTCTCGAAAACTTACAGAGAGACTGATTTTGGGAAATTATTTACCGCTTTTAGTTTATGCGTTCACGGGCGAGATCGATGGTCTTTGGTTCGATTCCGGCCTGTGGAGACCGTGGGTGCACGTTGTTGGTGAGTCTCTCAGTAGGGACAAAACCACCGTTCAGTGCCTCCGAATTTCTAATGATGGTTCAGCTTCGTTCAATCTAGATTTCAACTATAAAAATCCTCTTGCTGACCGAAAGCAATTCATTGAAACCGCAGGAAATGCAAACCGAGCTATGAAGCCTCATTTTTATTGCTAATAACAAATTTAAATATCATTGTTGTAAAATACATCTACACATGGATGAGCTTACTTCTGTTACTGATCGAATTTAGTGAAAAACAATACTCTAGTGATTCTATATCATACTAAATATATAATACTGAATGAAGCTTTTACAATCATTATTATCTATTGTCCAGAAAAACATCTTTTACAGGGATACTCAATCGATGTCATCTTTGAGGCACTTACTTACTTACGCCTGTTACCCCCAATGGAGCCTAGGCCACCCACCAATTTTCTCCAACCAACTCTGTCCTCAGGTTCCCTCTCCAGTTCTGTCCAATGTTTGTTCATTCCTCGCATATCTTTCTCTATTTCTCGGCGTAATGTATTCTTTGGCCTTCCTCTTTTCCTTTTGCCTTGGGAGTTCCAAGTGAGTGCTTGTCTCGTGACGCAGTTGGGTGCTTTTCGCACTGGGTGTCCTATCCACTTCCACCACTTCTTCCTGATTTCCCCCTCCACTCGAACCTGTTTTGTTCTCTCCCACAGTACATTGTTGCTGATATTGTCTGGCCAACGAATCCGAAGTATTTTGCGTAGACAACTGTTAATAAACACTTGTAACTTCTGTATGATGGCTTTGGTAGTTCTGCAAGTTTCCACTCCATACAGTAGAACTGTCTTCACATTTGTATTGAAAATCCTGATTTTGGTTTTGATTGAAAGTTGTCTGGAGTTCCAGATATTTTTCAACTGTAGAAATGCAGCCCTTGCTTTGCCAATCCGCGCCCTCACATCTGCATCGGATTTACCTTGATTGTCGATGATGCTGCCCAGATATGTAAATGTTTTAACGTCCTCCAAGGCATCTCCATCAAGAGTGATTTGATTGGTGCATGTTGTGTTGCATCGGAGAATTTTGCTTTTTCCTTTGAGGCACTATTTTGATTTACACCCTAAAATCCATATCATAATTCTGACCAAATTCATTACTAATTGAAGAGATATCAAATGAAGAGTCTTTTGATGTTTAGTGTATATTCCCAATGATTACTGTAGAAAGTCTCGTTTTAAATGCTTATGTGTCTCAAAACATAACTAAATTTTAATGCTATACAATGAGTTCAAGCCATGAGACATAGCAAACAGCATTGTGAGAATCTTTCATTAACACCTAAATTCACCACTAATATCCATTCGAAATAATAATAATGAATGAGATGAGATAAGACATATATTGTTTTTCTTCGCGTTCTCATATATCCCTTGAAAATTCCACTATAGTGAAATTATTTCAGAGAATTTTCTTGTCATTATTGCTTGGTAAATCTTTTCACCTGACAGAAAGAAACGCTAGTAGTCATAAGACAAGTCTTCACTT